AGGGGAGGGAATAAGAAGCAGGAGGGGGAGAGTGGGTGGGGAAAAGGGAGTGGGAGTGCAGGGGAGAGAGGCAGAGAGATGGAGGAGAGGGAAAGGGGGAGAGTGGGGTCAAGCAGGGGAGATGGGGGGGGGAGGAGAGGGGGGAGCAGGAGACAGAACGAGACAGAGTTAAGGAGGATCAGAGGATCCTCCCCCACCAAAACCAAAGGAGGATCCAGCCTTTCTAGGTAGGAGAGACAAAACCCCTCTGTATGTAAACTCATGTAACACCAATACAAAGTTAAATGACTTTAAAGTATGTATGAAATGTCCTTGTGCTCTGTTGAAGCAGCTCATGTTGGCTTATGTAGTTTAGCATGCTGTTTTCCATTGCTAGGATTCAGAGTATACCTTGTTTTTAAGGTGTGGTAGACCTGCAAATCTCACTCCAATCTAGGGCTGCATGAAGAGCTCAGCAGCACTGTAGAGGCTACACAGTGAGAAAGATAGCTTGTATTCCCTTGTGCCTAGCTGAAAAGAAGGAGCACACGACCCTGTTGCCTTTGCTGTCATAAGGGGAAGAGTTTATTGCTATACTTCCTGATTATTTTTTGTAGTTCTCATGAATAACTTAATTGCCTGGCTTTTATGTTAGTTAGAACTTTATGGACCTAGTGTTGTTACTTGAAAGAGCGTGATTTTGTGTGTGTGTGTGTGAGAATTGTTTGGGAGGTTCCTAGCGACTGGAAGCCTCAGAAGTTGAGGCGGCAAATCCACTTAATGTGTGCGTGGATTCCAGGCGTTCTTTGGGTAATGCTTGCAAAAATGGTCTTCTGTCATGCTGCTTTCAGAGTGCCTCCTAGACATCTCAAGTTTTGTCTGACTTTTTCCTTGCAGCCATGGGATTTTTTTAGTATTGATACTGAGCTGAAAATGTGAGGACCTCAAAAGAGTAACCATTAGTGTTGCATTTATTTTGATATTGAAGCTTGTTAACTGAGTAATCAAGTTTTTAATCTTAAAATGGAACTTCTCTAGATTTTTTTTAAGAGGTCTTAAATCCAGAAATCTAGTTGCAGAAACTAGAAGCAATTTGGTTGCTATGACTGTTTTTTCTTAAACCGAGAAACACAAATTTAGTTCCTCTACTGTTTCCTCCTATGTTTGTAGTCACGTGTAAAGAAGTAGGGATGGTAACTGTGAGGAATCTGTGCTGTGAGAAATTCCATCTGTATAAACTACATGGTTTTTCTTCTTTTCAGTCACTTTGGTAGTATTCTTAGATTAACTCAACAAAGAGTAAAAGCATAACAAATTGAAAAGAATGAGTGAAGTCAGAAATCGCTTAAAGGATATGAGGACACTAACAGAGCTACTTTCTTAACAGCCCCTTTTCAAACACCTCTAGTTTCTGCTGTCTCCTTTTCCCTTCCTTCCAGCTCCCAAATTTAAATACTCTGACTTTTCTGGACCATTCTGAATGATCAAAATACATGCTTTGGCTATGTGATGTTTGCCTTAATAGCTACTTTAGGTTTTCTAAAATACAAAGAAAGCCTATAGCATAGTTCCATCTGGAGACTGCTGAACACTAAATTGTGAATAAATTTTCTCCTCAGATTTGCTCTTACCTATGCAATAGGCAAGACAGTTTTCTTGCTTACTGACTAGTTAGTTATTCCCTCAAACTAAAGGAGTTCATGAAATTAGCATCTGCAGTCATGCAAAGAGTTTTTAAACAAAAAAAAAAAAAAAATTGCCCTTTAAAAACAGCAGTCTCTCTGGAGCTTGTTTTGACTATATAAACCGCTCCCAGACCAAAAGAGGAACGTCTTTCCTCTCATCTCCCAAAGAGCTGTTCTCGTCCTGAGATCTGAACTGCTGACAAAACTTGTTCTCTGACAGGGCAGCCAAATAACTCTGCCTTTGTGAAGTTAAACCTTAGCCATGATCTTCTTCTAAATTAAATTTGAATAGGAACCTCTCTAGGCCCAGCAGACGCCTAACCTGAAACAGCTGGCTTCTGCCACGGGTCTGCGGAGAAGACGTGTTGTAGTAATTCAGTTACACTGACGTCTGAATTCTGTTCGTCTAAAGCAGGATAAGATCATGCAGTTTATAAGTGTTCTCTTTGGATAAAAGTAAAGGTTAGTTTAGGTCCCAGATTAGATGCTCGGGTTAGAGGCATAATTCCGCTCAGTTAAGATCGCAGGTAGTTGATCAAGAAGTAGACATGTCTTTTGAAGACATGTTTTTGATACCTAGGTATTAATCTCTTCCCCATACCCTTCCTGTTAATTCTCCAATTAATTCCACTGCTCTGAATTTCAGAACATTACTGATGTTACTCCCGGGTAATGGTTCAGTTCCCTTTTGGGACAGGACCTGAAGGCTGCTGAGCCAGACATAGGTAGTAGCTGTAGACTTATTACTCATGGGCAAGCCTAACTTAATAGGTTTTCCAAGAAGTTGGTCCATTTCTACTATAACTTCCATTTTTATTAGGAACCATTTGATATACATCTGTTGAAGAGCTGTTGTCTTAATGCAGTTGCATCTTGACGGCTAAAGATTTGGCTTCTTGAGGGTTCCACCTTTCCATTGTAAACTCTACAGCAACTAATAAGATGTTAACTGGTGATTGAAATTAGCAGATTTTTAGTGTTTGGGAACTTTGGGCTGCATTGTTTGCTTTTATTTAAAAGGTGATGGGTTTGAATTGCATCACAGATGCTAAGCCAGTATGGGAGGTTTAGCAAAAGGTCTGATGCTGTAATGATTATTTTTGAAATACTAATGTGAGTCATATGTCTTATTTTAATCTCCATTAATAGCCATTTGTTCTGGGGCTTTTGTTATAACTGTTTCAAGTAATCCTGGATAACATAATGATCAAGTTGACTGACTAGGAAGCCGGCAATACTTGTGCTAAACTTGAAAACATTGAGCTAGGAATCTTTTGAAAAGTACATACGCCATAGATTTAAAATTGCCTTAGGTATGTTCAAATCAGAATATTTAATTGTAACGTACAAGAGGGAACAGAAAGGGACATGACAGATATGTTGGATGCTGTAAACTTCAAATATATTTTCATCTCTTGCTTCTCTCATCTTACAATGTAGGGTATTAAAGCCCCCTGGAGGCGGTTCTAGTAATCTCTTTGGGAACGCAGAAGAAGTTTCTTCTTCCAGCAGGCCACACCGGATGGCATCTAATATCTTTGGAGCATCTGAAGAACCGCAGAACGTTCCAAAACGAACAAACCCTCCAGGTAAGAGCAGCCACCTTTCTCAGCGTGGCTGGGCTCTGAATTGCAGAACAATGCAGGTTTTGTGTTCCTTCAGTGGAATATTATGATCTGTCTTTTCTAAATTACATTTTGCAAACTGAGTGTGCTTGAGCACTAAGCCTAGTCACACTTCTGAAGACGCAAATGTGCGAGTGATGTGCATGTTCACAGACTTTTTAGTGCTTCATTCTAGTCCAGTTTTTTCCTAGTATTGAAATCTAGGAAGTGATGAAAGGAAATTGCTTCCATTCTAGAGTCCTGTCATCAGTTAGCTGCAATGAGTACAGCTGTGAATTTATGGTCCTCTAGTGAATTCTTATAACACAGGATTTCAGGCTGTATCTTCAGACAAGCAAAAGTAAGTCTCTAGGCAGTAGGGTACTGGAAGTCTTCAAATGCTCATAACTTGACTTTTTTTAATGTAGTGTGGTAAAACTAAGTCATCTGGAACAAAACTTTAACTACTACCTCGCAGGGGGAAAGGAAAGTGGCATTTTTGAGGATCTTAGTTCGGCTCAGCCTCGTCCACGCTTAAATCCACCTGGTGGGAAGACAAGCGATATCTTTGGGTCTCCAGTATCTACCAGTGTTGTGCGAGCACATCCAAACAAGCCTAAGGTATTCGTACTTTTTTCCACTGTCAAACCAAGCTAGCAGTTAAGTGAATCATCATACAGACTTGTCAGCAATGCAATGCCAGTATTCCTATTAGGATAACAGGCTTAAATTATGCATGTGGTGACTTCAAATTAGACAGCGTTACTCCTGAGGCCTCTTTTTGCTAGCCTGTTACTTTTTGTATATCAGCTGTCAATATGCTTTGTCGTTTGCAACAAAACCATTAATTACGCTGTGGATGTCTAATAATAATGAAGGCCAAAGGCTTTAGGAACTGGTAAAGTACAGCTGTAGCTCTTGGCACACAGCCAAGATAGTCAGCCTTAGTAGGGAGAAGGTATTTCTTAGTTTTGCAATTCAGCAGAGGTGAACTTGACACCTGCTTCAGTAAGTCAGTGAACATCGATGAATTGCAATCACAAATATTCATGTGAACTAGCCATCATCTTCATATGTCTAATATATGCATCTGCATTCAGCATGAAAGCACATTAGCAGGAGATTAAACTAAAATGATCAGCAGTGAAAAAGTTAAAGATCAGCCTCGAGTTTCAGGTCCAGCACGTTCTTAATTTTTTTGTGATGTTGGACACAAACTTTTGTCATTATCAGTTTTGTTTGTCAGTCTTAAAGATGGGATGTATAAAACTTGGAGGGAGTGTAGCTATTGCCATAATCAACGTCTCTCTCCCTCTCCCCCCCCCCTTTTTTTTTAAGGAAGGAAACATTGCCAATTACTTTATTTCTCTATTTAAATGTCCTGTATTTGAACTTGTGAGCTGCCGCCTTACACTAAATACATACTATTAAGTGAGTAGCTACCATGTTGATAATGTTCCTGACAAGTCAAGTGCTTTCGGAAGTTAATGTTCAATGAACACCTCCACACAGCGGACTCTTTCAACAGACTTCATTTTTTTTAAAAAAGAGAGAATTTGTAGCAGCCTCTCTTCTCCTGGGAGAAGAGAGTTCAATTTGACTCCTTTTCTCTCCCCTTTTCCTCTGTATTTGAAGGTGCTGATAGTGTTCTTTTGCCTACTTGTTCTAGTGCAGATTCTAGACTATATTTTGGGGGATTTGAGTCGTAAGAAAAACAAAAGACTCTGGGAGCTAGGTGGGAGTAGTGCTGTTGGAGTAGGGGAAGGGTTTTACTTTGTTCCTCTTTATTTCTTTATAAGGCTGATCTCTGGTTATTTTTAGTTTGGTGCGTCTCTCTCTCTCTCTCTCTCTCTCTCTCTCTCTCTCTCTCTCTCTCTCTCTCTCTCTCTCTTTTTTATTTTTATTTTTTATGCAACATCTTAGTTCCTGGGAATTCATGGCTAGACACAGGACAGTGCTTTGGAAATTCCAATGCATTTAGCTAGAGCAGTGGAATAATCATAAATATGGAGATGGAAGGGAGACTACGTACTTGCAATGACTACTGCAAGCTGAATTTCAAGGGTAGGAAAACTTGCAAGCTTTTCTGAGGTACTGCCATGTATTTCTGACAATTAATTAGGATGGCTAGAAAAAAGGTTATAAAAGGCTTTGTTAATTATCTGATTGTTCAGGTCGCTATTTATATCTACTGGAGTGGATATCCACTCCAGTAATTGCTGAACCTGAAATAGGGTGCTGAAGGGCTGCTTGTGTTCTAGGTGTTAATACTTGCTTCTCTTGGGTGGTAGGGATACTTGTAAAGAATGGTAATTCAGACCTCTATACTGAACTGCTGATCACAGGCCAAAGTTTGAAACACAGATTAAGACGCTACATTAGTTAATTGGATGCTTGAATGAATTGTATCTGAGGTGAGCATCTCTACATGGATTTAACTTCTTCTAGAGCTTAATTCCCTCCATCAGTGCTTAGAGGCTTATGTAGGGGTAGAGAAGAGGAAGGGCTGCACACAGTAACAGCAGCAGTGTTGTTGGCTCTTACTGCAATGAATGTTATAAGCCATTAAATCAGAAACAAAACAAGACTTTCTAAAGGATCTTGTGACAGAGTGGCTTTTTGAGAATTGTGATGTACTAAGATAGCTTTTGGTTTCATTGCAGGATCATATTGTCTTGAAAGAAGATGAAACGCCAAAGAAGCTAGAAGGTCAGCAAGAGAAACTGCTTTCTCTGCTGTTTTTTGAGAAGATACTCTCTAAGAAATATATATATATTTTTTTCTTCTTCCTTGTGCTTCCTCTTAAAAATACAAGACTAAGGCTGATGTTTAGGTTAATGCAACTGAGTGAATTTCTGACTAAGAGCAAAACTTACAATTTGAGTTTTGGGAAATGGCTCTGTTATTGAGGAGAACACAGACATAACTGTTAATAATATTGATAGATGGATGTATGGAATCTGTATATACAGAAAAGCATCCTATGAAATTGCTCCTTCCTCCCTTGCCATCTCCTTCAAATGTGTAATTTCGGCCTTCAGTAGCTGTAAATACCGAATAGCTGACTTTAACAGAATGCATACTGCTCTACTTGTTATTGTTAAAGAAAGATGGGAGCACTGCTTTCAAGCTAATATGAAAGCAGTAACTGCTATGTTGCATCTCTCAATTGTCAGAAACTGCCAAAATGATTCTGAAGGTATAGATTGCTGAAGAAAGGAAAACTGTTAAGATAACAAGATAAGTGAGATTCTTCCTCAGTACCTGTCACTTCAGGAAAAGTGAACACATGTTGAGAAACTAGAGTGCTTTGGATGGGAGACCTGTTACACTGTGTAGTAACAGGTTTCTCTAATTTTTTTTTTCAGCTACAGAAGTCAACAAATCACAACTGGAAGATGGACGCGAGAAAAAAGATGTGGGCAAAGAGGAGAGACTCAAGGAGCCAGAACCCAAGATAGACAATCATGAGCCCAGATTAGGGCCAAGGCCTCGCTCACACAACAAAGTTCTCAATCCCCCTGGTGGAAAATCCAGCATTGCGTTCTATTAGGGACATCTGTTCACTTTCACTAACTGAGTCTGCACAGAAACTCTTCTCTGTGGTTGTGAGGTCAGTTTATAGACTATTGTTTGTGGACAGATTCTTCTTAAGGCAGATGTATGAGGGTTATGCCAAAGTGTGTAGAAAGGATAACCTGAGATTTCGGGGAGGGAGGGCTGGGGAGGGAAAGGGTGCCATGTGGAAGACTCTTGACTATCAGACTGCCTGGGTGGGTGGTAGAGAGGGACGTTAGTGTAATGTTATGGGGGAAAAAATGCTGCTTTTGTCGTGAGTTCATCAGACTTAGGTTCTTAGCTAGCTAGTGGCTCAGGACGCTCTTGTGGAGTCAGGCTTTTCCGTAAGTTCAATGTGTAAAACAGTGTGAGTGGGTAGGGACCTGGAGGCCAGGTCTAGAATAGTCTTAAGCACAGCAGTAGGCCATGCTCTTTTCCAGGCAATATAATACAGCTTCACGGTGTGAGTTGATTTGCAGTCACTTTAATGTACATACGTTCTATTGGGGCAATTAGTGCTGTTGTATTCTTGAACATCTTTAGTCTCGGTTCTTTTTCTCCTTCCTTCCTCTTTCACAACACATCATTGCTGATACAAGGACAAAACATTCTGAAATTTCATTTTATACTCTCATAAGCCATCATGGGTTAATAAACGTTTTGGTGTTCCCCTCCTCGGAGTATTTGGGCCTTTCTGCTGCCTTCAGTAATCTGCTGATTGCTAGTAGCTCTTGACAAATGGTAAGATCAGCCTAACGTACCATTTCATATAGGTGCTTCTAGAAGACTTTTATTTGAAGTATCCTGGTTGAGTGCTTGCAGATTTTTTCTGGTAAGGATTTGGGTACAAACAGTAGCTTTACGGTTGTCTTTGAAGAGAAGCAACTTTAAGTATACAGTTACCATAGAGAACAAACCGAGATGCCTAGTTAGCTAGCTTTGACCCAACCTGAATAGGAATGCCTTAGCTTCTGCAGAGGTTTTTCCTTTGCCCTGCAGAAACCAGGATTGTTCTACTGTCTTCACCACAGTGCAATTTTTTTTGTTTGTTTGTCTGTGCTGACTCCGTTAGTGAATTCTTGTGTCTTTAGTCAGCCTTACGTTTGCCTTTGACTGCCTCAGACTTTCGTTGGTAGGGGTGAGAGCAACTTGGGTTATCCCCAAGCCACAGCTGAAGCTGTTTGGGGACACTCTGTAGACTATCCTAACTGGACAAAGAATTAGCAATACAAACCTTCTGGGTGAGCTGGCTATCTTAAATCATGTTTGGAAGATGTGCATATAGTTTTTCACAAACTATGTGTTGGGGAGGGTCGCTCCACCATTCATTCTCTGAATGGACTTTCTGATCATATTGAGAGCTTTGATACTTGAATGTTAACATTAGCTGCTTAGACTGCTCAATGTGTTTAACAGTGACTTTTTGAATCTCACATATCAAAATGGGAGTTGTTCAGGTACACCAAAGAACAAGTGGCCTTATCTGCATGTATTCACTGCTGTTCTAGCCCAAGTTCCCTGAAACTACTAGTATTTAGAGGGGACTGTCCCTGGGCCAGGTGCTGATCACCCTCTGATCGTAGGGCTTGTTAGACTGCTCTGTTCAGCTCACGTCAGAAGTGGTGGATGACTGCTTAAAGACCTAGCTGCCTTTTCAATTTGTTGAAGTGAAGTATTTGGGGGCAGTGGTAATGGTAGGAATAACCCTGGAAAGTAGGAATTTCAATGCCTTTGTACCTTTCAGATAGATGTGGAGCTCCCTGTTATGTGGCCCCCTGGGAGAACATACAGTGATCCTAATTGCAACCCTATACTGAAGTTATGTTACTTCCTAACATGTATTTCCTACCAGCTATTCTTGAGTCTCACACCTGGCTGAGTCTGGGAGGTTTCTGACTGTTTCAGCTCTGTTTCAGTACTGACAGGGTTTTAAGAGGTAACCAGATAGACAAGTCGAGAGCATGCTCATTGAAGAGTCTGGCTGTAATTGATGCTGTCTGTAATGCTCAGTTTAGACTTGGCATCGTTTAGTACCTTAACATTAGGTAGAAATACTGATGTGCATTGGCTACAGTGCCTGTCTTTTAAACAGCAACTTCCAACTAGGCCTTAAATTAGTTAAACTGTGTTCATTTTCTTGTATTTCCTTCTTTGCAATCAAAATCATGTTTTCAGCTCATGGAGCGAGTTTGATAAGAACACTTCTTTTTTCCAAAACAGGGGCAGAAGGGGATTGGAAATCAGCTGATAAATCATGAACTTGTCAATAAACCTCTGTATTTTGTTACTCCATTGTGTGCTGTATATGTCTGCTCTTTATTAATTGATCTGTATCCTAGCTGAACATAGATACACTGGTGAATTTTGTTATCTGAAATTGGAAAAATTCTGCAGTAGTGGGAAGACTTTCTGTCGTGGGAAGTGTGCGTTAGAGGTGGGACATCCTCCTTGAGGTGGGTGGCTCAAGAGGCAAGTGCCTCTTATCCCTGGGGAGTGTGAAGGGACGGTAGCAAGGGCAGGCTGTTCAGCTGGGGGCAGGTCAACGCTCCAATTGCCTTTTTGTGGGTAACATTCTGTATTGCTTTGTACAGTCCAGGAATGCTGTTATGCTCTCTAGTAGTCTTGTAAACAGACTTAAGTATTCAAATACTTTATTTAAAGTCTCCTTAAACAGGAGATCCTCCTAATGTGGAGAAGTCTACTTCTTCGCTACGCTTCTAGTAAGGGCATATGCTTCTCATGTGCCAAACCACCTTGGTCAACAGAACAGGGATAGGGTCAACAGAACAGAACAGGGATAACCACAACTACAGAAATGCCAGTTCCAGTTGAGCTGGACATGGTGGTGTCTCAGCCAGGATGTTTTAAGGTCTGCTGAGTTCATGTCTTAAGTTACTGATGGTGATGCCCTACCGAGCCCTTCAACTAGCCTTTGTTTCTAGAGTTACTTCTGGTGTTCTGCAGCGAGAGTCATGGTTCAGAACCCCTCCTGGGGCATGCGGAATGCTTTGGGTAGGATCTACGTATTTTGGGAATCTGAATATCCTTGATGGAAAACAATCACAGAATGGTTGAGGTTGGAAGGGGCCTCTAGAGATCATCTGGTCCAACCCCCCTGCTCCAGCAGGGTCCTCTAGAGCATGTTGCACAGGGTTGTGACCAGAGGGTTTTGAATATCTCCGGGGAAGGAGACTCCACTACCTCTCTGGGCAACCTGTTCCAATGCTCTGTCACCCTCACAGTCAAGAAGTTTTTTCTCAGGTTTAGATGGAACTTCCTGTGGTTCAGTTTCTGCCTGTTGCCTCTTGTCCTGTCGCTGGGCACCACGGAGAAGAGGCTGGCCTCGTCCTCTTGACACCCCCCCCTTCAGATACTTGTACACATTGATAAGATTCTCCTCTGTCTTCTCCAGGCTGAACAGTCCCAGCTCCCTCAGCCTTTCCTCCTATGACAGAGGCTCCAGTCCCCTCATCATCTTTGTAGCCCTTCAGTGGATTTGCTCCAGTACCTCCATGTCTCTCTTGTACTGGGAAGCCCAGAACTGGACACAGTATTACAGGTGAGGCCTCACCAGGGCTGAGAAGAGGGGCAGGATCACCTCCCTCGACCTGCTGGCAACGATCTTCCTAATGCAGCCCAGGATACCCTTGGCCTTCTTGGCCATAAGGGCATATTGCTGCTGGGTCATGGTTAACTTGTTGTCCACCAGGACTCCCGGGTCCTTCTTGACAGAGCTGCTTTCCAGCAGGTCAGCCCCCAGCCTGTGTTTTAGCAACATGAGATTGTAGTACCCTTGAACTGCTGCCAACAATTTAGTAGACAGCGATACAGTTTCACCTTGCAACTCTATACATCTACTCCTTGCTTCTCCTTAAGTTGAGGATTTGCCGCTTAAGGTACAATGTTATTCATGTTAATACTTCAACCTCAGAAGGAAAATGAAGATAATTAAGTTGGACAGTGACTAAAGGGGGACTTGCATGCTTTCATAAATCATATGTACAAGAGAAAACAATTCTAGGCATAGCTGCCTAGTCCCTGAATACGTCACCATGCCCATCCAGGACAAGGCCATACTGTTCTAATGAACAGACCAGCTGCAATGTGTTGTCATCGGTCCTGATCCCCTATAAACCTGTTTATGCCAAATCAGTGCATGTTTCCCACTGTTAAGAGTGGCAGTCCTACGTAATACCTTTCTCTCAAGCAAGTGTTATCTGATACAGTTCTTGTTATATCACTGCATAACCTATGAGAAACAATAGAACTTTGCATCCTTAATGAGGAAGGTTAATGCCCCCTCTATCTGTGTTTTCAGTAAGCAGTACAAAGTTGCATTTTGTTTAATTATTTATAGAAGTTAATCAGACTTGGAATATCTAAAGTATGTTCTTGGAGTTTGTCGAATGGGAGAACCTTATCTAAAAATAGTGCTGTATGGACACAATTCTTTAAGAGCTAAATAACCGTTATGGTGCATTTCCTGCTAATTCCAAGATGATTAAATAATTCTTGCAGTTACTTGTATATAATATGACCGCGAGGTGCACAGAAGTCTAGGTATCCTGGCTATCTGTCTGATGTCTCATGTCATAGAGGACAATTCAACTCTGGTATTGCCCTCTGAAGGTATGGGGTGTACTCAGTTGTTACTTGCAGCTTCATAGCCTGGGAGCCAGCTGGCCATCCATCATGTTTTTCCTTTGACGTGCCTCCTACTGAATTTCTGCTGGAAGCTCTAACAAAATGCTGCACCTTTTTTCCTTCTGGAAAAGGTGATGGTTCAGAAAGTCCTGGAGCCTAGGGTCTTGTCTTTATTTATTTATTTTTCTTGAGCAATGAAGAAAAGTCACAACCAGGATCCTTTGCTATACTAGATTATGGAAAGCAAAAGGTAATGGACCTCCATGAGCACAGGTGCTCATAGCAGCGGACAGGCTTAGGGCAAGACTTTGGTACATGATGACAACAATCACTTATGTCATCACTTGTGTCCACTATGTGCAAGAAATAGACCCAAAGTGTAATGATTTCTTGCAAGATGACATGCACTCTACCCAAAACTGATGCACAGAAACCCAAAAGCCAACGGATTAAGCTGAGCCAGCTGCTGCTTGTGCCTCCTTTCTCTGAAAACACAGTCAATGAGCAGTTTTTAAATATACTGTTAAGTTTACAGGCCTGATTTTTTTTCTTGTTTCCAATGTCCCTTTCTTTCAAGATGCAGCTCCTCATATTGTTAACAGTATCTCTTCCTCCTTAAGCAGCTAAAAATGCTGAGCATTAGCAACAGGAATGCAGTGATTTACCTGTCAGCCTCTCTCGCTCCAGCAGCCTCCCAATTCCAGCTTCATACCCTATCACTGTCCTCCGCCCAATACAGATGTGTTAGGTAGCTCTGCTGCATTTGGCTTCTTGAGCATCTTTCCCATCCTACTGCTGGGCACGTGCTATATGCCACTTAAACCAAAACCACATGCTTTATCACAGGCATAGTGGGCTAGCTGAAGTGACTAAGAACTTCTTAATATTGTGGCTGCTTCTTCATAAAGATGATGGCTTTTCTTCCACCACTACTGCCCACAAACTACTGTGTAAAAAATTCTTAACACACTGTTTTCTGGGAGCATGCTCCAGAGCAGGTCTAGCCAAAAAAAAAAAAACAAAACAAAACAAAAAACCACCTTAATGCAAATTGTCTGAACCTAAATTCCCTTTCAGCCTCACACAGTTTATATTTTGAGTTGCAATCCACTGTGCCTTATGCAGCAGACAGTTCTGCCAAAGCTTGTGGCAGCAAAGAGCTTAGGGCTTCCAGAGCTGCCCAGGGCCAGGGAGAGAGGATTTTGGGGGGGGGGGGGGGGGGGGGGGGCTTTCAATTACCCGTATAAATTATCAGTGTGGCACCACAGAAATTAAACAGTGACTAACTGATTGGTACTTTCCATTTCTTACAGCATTTTGACCTTTGTGAATGCCACTCTTAAATTTTTCTGGCAAGCTCAAAGCAGAAAACCGTGCAATTGCTTTCTAGAAACATCTCAAAAGTGAGCTCTAGCAGTAAGACAGGAAAAGTGAAGATGGCTTTCTTGTCGTCAGTGAAGTAATTAATAAAAAAGGTAGTTAAACGGGACTATCAGGAAGTCCTTGATACACCTTACTAGAGATTAATAGGTACTGTTTCAGGAAAACTTACTTATTCCCTGCCTCCTCATTGTAGTTATGTCAGCTTCAAGCACTACTAGTCTGAGCATAAAGACATGAGCAGCCTTGTAAGAATGCTTCTCTGTAAGAGGCTCTAGCACAATTCCTTTAATCCACCTAACCCAAAAATGGTCTTAGAGCAACAGACTTGAGGACTACTCGAATTTTCCCCATCTTTAGAATATGTGAAAGGGCTTGTAAAGCACATGCCTGGATCTTTGTACACTGGTATCTGCAAAAACTTCTGTAGTCAAAATAAGTTTTGTCCGTTTATAGACTGTGATGAACACACATACACGAATGCTTCACAGTGAAGCTGAGTAGGCTGGGCGGCATCTAGTGCTACAGTTTCAGGAGCCCTGTGAACTAGTGGCAGGTTGTAAGGGAAGTATATCCCAACTCTTCTTCACAACAGACGAGTGAAGTTTCTTCTGTTGTAATTGGGACGTAGATCGTGGGATAGCAACTGAGGAATGGCAAGGTTTTGGGTTTCTCCACAAAGCACACAATGCAGGACTCCTAGAGGCTATTGCAGCACCAAATACAGGAACAACCCCATTGAGCACAGCTGTAGCAAGATGTGGCATACAATCCCACAAAGCCGATGACTGCCTGCCAACCAGACTGACTGCACTGGTAGGCATTGCTTTTAAGCCAGATGTTGGCAGCAGCACACAAAAGCAGCCCTTTTGAATGCATGCTTTCCACTGCAGACAGTCTTCCACAATCACATTTGGAAGTTCAGCCTAGGATTTTTGCACTAGAAAAAAAACCCAGCAGGACTCCAGCACGGAAGAACAGCACAGGGACTGGTGGCTCAGAGACGTGCCAAAGCCACAGTTCAGGGGGAGCCTGATTTACCAGCCTTGTGAAAACACCACAGTTGGATAGCAGGTAGAAATGATACAAGCTTGCAGAAAGGTTTTAAACAATAGCAGGTTTCTCTAGTTATATCACAGTAAAAGGACAAGTACTTATCTAGTACTGCTTAATCAGTGGATAAACAGCTATATGAGGCCTACGCTTTTGAGGCAAGGATAGCTGAAAAAAACCTTTTTTTACATAAGAGGAGTGAGTGCGTTGCAGCTACTTTTTTGACTTCTCACCTCACCCCAAGTTTCAGCTACATCAGACTCCTTAAGGAAAATCCTTTAATTGTCTCTACTCTGAAATGAATTCACGGTGGAATTTCACTCTCAAAAAGACCTCGTTATATGAGCAAGTTGTCTTAATAATTTTAAAGCAAAATCCTCCTCTACATGGGAGGATTTGTCTTCTGTCATAATCACTTAAGATGTCACTTTATTGGATGCTGTCAGTGCCTAAATTGCTTTCAATTTACTAGTGTTTATGTTAAACATATCTTGAACAGACCTTCTCTTTCTCTTTAGAATTTGTGATAATTTACTCAGTCATTCACTTTAGCACTCCTTGTACTTGGCTATGTTAAAGTTTACCTCATTCTTAAAGCATCCTTTATGCTTTTTGTATGCTTTGCGTAGCAAGAAGGGCAGTTATCTCAGTAAAACAAGCCTTAGCATTCATGACTAAGAGTAACCTGGTTAAAAGGACAATTTCAGATCAAAACTGCACATGCTTTTGAGGGCAACTGAAGATGTGGCTTATGGAAGCATTTCTAGTAAGGTAACTAGCAATTAAGCTATGCTTGCATGTGTAAAAGCTAGTAATTTGAGTAACTCAATCTCCCACCTCCTGCCTGAAGGATAATGATGGTGTTACTTACATGCAAATCTAATTTGGAAAAGGAATATGCTCATCCAGAACAATTACTAAAACAGAAGGTCTGTCGAGGTATGTGGAACAAGAAGTGCTGCTGCGCAGGATTCTTGAGGCTGAGGAAGAGCAGTCCAGCCAGATGCACCTCATGTCGGGAATTTTAATGCAAGATTGAAAAGTAACTAAAGAGACTATCTAACAGCTTATGAACAAGCTCCAGCTGGACTAATTTTACTTACTGTAGTATAGTTCTTAAAAAGTGTTCCATGCAAGTTTCTGTATGTGCCAGAGAAAGCCCAAGAACCATGTAGCAGACGTGTTCCACTTGTGTTCCAGGCACAAAGAACTGCAAACATTCTCTTTGTGTAGGCAGTTCCTAATGGATGACTAAATGAGATTTCTCTTTAAAGAAAGATGTTTAAAATACATGGCTAAAAATTCACTTTCAAGTAGAAATAATCAATACTGTGTCCGGCAGCCATCACTGTTCTCACACTGCAAAGGTTCAGCTGACAGAGTCTTTGTTTCCTGTTTCATCATCAAGGAGTGGTGCTGTATCTGCTGGATGTCTGTCCTCCTGCTCCACAGGCAATCCCTTTCTAGTTCTGTTCAGTGTCCCTCCCTAGAAGTGTAGAGAAGCAGTCAGTGATTAAAAGGACACCTTTCCTCAAGTATGCATACATCACTACACCTGTGTCCTAGCCCTTCCCCTCATCTTCTTGCAAAGAGAAGAAAGCTGCCAGTAGCTTGATACTAGGAGAGCCTAGTGCATACTGCATCAGTATTTTAGCAGATCACAGAACGGTTGAGGTTGGAAGGGACCTCTGGAGATCATCTAGTCCAACCTCCCTGCTCCAGCAGGGTCACCTAGAGCATGTTGCCCAGGATCACGTCCAGACGGGTTTTGAATATCTCCAGCGAAGGAGACTCCACTACCGCTCTGGGCAACCTGTTCCAGTGCTCTGTCACCCTCACAGTCAAGAAGTTTTTTCTCAGGTTTAGATGGAACTTCCTGTGGTTCAGTTTCTGCCTGTTGCCTCTTGTCCTGTCACTTGGCACCATGAAGGAGAGACTGGCCTCGTCCTCTTCCCCCCTTGAGATACTTGTACACGTTGATGAGATCCCCTCTCAGTCTTCTCTTCTCCAGGCTGAACAGGCCCAGCTCTTGCAGTCTTTCTTCATAGGAGAGGTGCTCCAGTCCCCTCATCATCTTTGTAGCCCTCCGCTGGACTCTCTCCAGGAGTGCCATGTCTCTCTTGTACTGGGGAGCCCAGAACTGGACAAGGTCCTCCAGGTGAGGCCTCCCCAGGGCTGAGGAGAGGGGCAGGATCACCTCCCTCCACCTGCTGGCAACACTCTGCCTAATGCACCCCAGCATACCAT